AGTTCGTCCCTTTACGGGTAGGTGAATCATTCAGTGATTTCTTTATAGAATAATTCATAGAAACAGCACATAGTAATATACATTCTCAAAAATTATGTCTATTGCCAAACAATTCAACAGACAACTAGTTTTACAGTGATTTCTCGAAATGTCTAATGATTTTTTCTCATAACATAGATGAGTTTTATTACAGGCGCTCCACAAAATTACATTTAATACATCATACAGTATTTTCTCATGTCTGGCTCATTTAGCATATTAACAATTTCTATCTCAATACATTTGTACCAGTTTTATCATCTTTGACACATTCCTGTGCGGATCTCTATCAAATCGATTCTCTATTTTGTTACCAAATGTATCATAATGCCTGATAATTGGGTATCTTGGTAAAAACAGAGGTAACAATTATCAGTAGTAATATTACTAGAGTGAAATATCAAAGTGTCTCTGCATTCTCAATGATTTTTATAGCTTGATATGATCATGTTAAGAAAAACACTGTGGTTATTACAACAGTTTGCTGATCAATAAGGTGTCGCAATAACAACACTTTCACATCAGTTTTCGATTATTTTTTCAGCTCGTAATCAGTCAATAAATAACTATTATGTTGACTATAGGAAAGCATTTTGGCACAGTTTTACCGATGCGACGAGTTTTTCATTGCTCATGAATAATAATTCATTCAAATGAAACGACTTTTTCAGCCAATCGTTTCATGCAACTCTCCCACCCCCGAAAAGAAATCAACGAATCAAGATATCAGGGATAGTTGTATCAAGGTAGTAATTGATAAGCACATTATTAATAAAGAAATGTTGTTTTATTCGAGTACGTCGTTTGGGTGTGAACATCGTCGGCTAGAGTTCCATACCTTTCATATATTTATACATAAGTATTACTAATACAATAATAAAAACATAATGTTAAATACATATATTATATTATATGAATTTTATTGAAAATTTACAAATATTTGCCCGTGTCAAGCGCCGATGTTCGCAGAGGTACAACATTCGATATTTCTGAAGACATTTTCACTCGACAAAAGGATAGACAGCGACACTGCGCTTGGCAAGTTCGATATTTCGAACGTCGTCACCGAGATACTGCGCGTTCGTGCGCAGTGACGTCGCGCGAAAAAAGCTACTTTGTTGTAACAGTACCAGCTGACAGGATGTGAGTTTCGCCTCAGTTTGATTCGAGTTCTGATCCTTTCGGCATTCGCACTTGCTCGCTGTGCTGTCGTGAACCTACCAACGTTTATTTTGTGTCTCGCATCTAGATCAGAGTTATCAATCCTCTTTATTATATATATGGCCTGTTGAATCACTTTTCACATAGTACATTGTGCATACAATTGAATGTAGGTCACGAATTGAAAATATTTCAATTTCACGCCATAACAATATGAGTATTCTGCCATTGATTACACTATACATATGCTTTCAAATACTAACGTCAAAAACATAGCGTCATAGAAATTAAATAAATTTAGCTGACGGTAGGAACTACTCAGTGGAGAACAGAGTGCTATATGTAAATCTAGTACATTTTGTTTATATCCTAGTTTTAGTAGTGTTATATTTACTGTCGTTGTTTTAATAATGCTAACACATTTATCAGTAAGATAGGGAGACACCCCATACATTTTCTATAAAGGGGTCGTCAGACTAGAATTCGTCGTCATTCGCTACAATACTTTCACAGTAGTTATCAGGGGCGGCATTGTCCAGGTGTTGCCACGTGGTGTGTAGCAGTGGTGGATCCAGAGGGGGCCAGGGGCCATGCCCCCCAAAACGCATGACGATTCATATCATCTGTATTACGCATAGCTTCACGTTGTAATTTCACAATTAAAAGTAGTTAGTTTAATTTATTATGAAGAATTTCGTACGGGAAGTCAGTTCACAATGAAAGTAAATGCCTGATATTGGGCGAATTCGTGTATCATTGGCGTCATAGGAACATTCCGGGGTCTTCGTTTTCCAGGGTCTTCGTTTTCCAGGGTCTTCGTTTTCCATGGTCTTCGTTTTCCAGAGTCTTCGTTTTCCAGGGTCTTCGTTTTTCATACGTTGTAATTTCACAATTAAAAGTAGTTAGTTTAATTTATTATGAAGAATTTCGTACTGGAAGTTAGTTCACAATGAAAGTAAATGCCTGATATTGGGCGAATTCGTGTATCATTGGCGTCATAGGAACATTCCAGGGTCTTCGTTTTCCATGGTCTTCGTTTTCCAGGGTCTTCGTTTTCCAGGGTCTTCGTTTTCCAGGGTCTTCGTTTTCCAGGGTCTTAGGTCTTCGGTCTTCGTTTTCTAGGGTCTTCGTTTTCCATACACCCTAGCTTCTCTGCGATTTACGCTCCGTATTTTAAGCGAAGCTTGGACCCCCCAATACATTTTGTTGGATCCGCCACTGGTGTGTAGTACAATTATGTGCCAATATACTGCATGCACCGAATATCTGCTTTCTGCTGAGTTCAACTTCAAGAAGAGTGTGTGTTTATCGACTGGCTACTTTAACCCTATACTATAGCTAGATCACTGCGTGGTGCGTGAACATTGTCCAAAGTACGCAATTCTACGTCGCCGTTCCAGCGTATTGTACATTGCCAGGTTACTGCGACCATAGGTATTTAGTTTTCTTGTGAAAACTGATTTTTTTTATGAACTGAACTATTAAGTGTGTACATATTTGTAATCATATCCACTATAAAGGTATTCGAATAATTTGTATTCATGGCAGATTATTGAAATTGATTAACCATTTTAAGGGCCAAGCATTCTGATTAATTATAATATTATTACCATTTAGTTAGAATCTTATGATTGTGTTAGCGTATTTGGCCACAGCTGAGTGTAATTAATATAATAATTAATGCGGGTTTTCTGTTCTCTGTAGCCACTGTTAAAATAACCGAATTGAACTTCGTCTGTACCCTGGTGAAAGGATAGTGTATTCATAAAATGTTATGAATGCTTTGCCCCAGTTTGTAACAAATTAAATACGGTGGGAATCAGGTAATATGCACAATTTTAATTCTAAGGGTTAATGTAAGCATCCATCATATTTGTATTAATAGTTTAGTCACGTACAGTTTGAGAATTTATAGTCACGAGTTCTTG